TAGTAAAACGGATAACGGTAACAGATGACAGCCAAAAAAATAAATATTTAAATATAGTTAGCGATTGTCTACTAATTAATATGATTATTTTTTTAAGTGACAGCCGATTGACAACCCTAAAAATCATGTTTCTTTTAACCCCTGTCCCGTTGCTATTAACCCCTCACTCGTATCTATTCACCTCTTTCTGCGTATCTATTCACCCTAAAGGCGTTTCTATTCACCCCTCACTCGTATCCATTCACCTCGAATTCAAGGAAAAGTAATAGCATCCTGATTTTACTTGAAATAAGAAAGATACATTTGAATATTGACACTCACTTTTCTATTCGTAAAAGATAATCAACTTAACTAATGAAACACACAAATTCGCTAGGAGATAAGACTGAAAAACTTACGTTTAATAAAAAGTTTTACGCAGCCTAAAATCACTTGTACGCACACGTTCACTTTAACCGCTTTTTTCTTCATGTCATTACACTTGACGTAAAATTGTGTGTAGCCAGCATAAAGGCAAAATGTTGCCGTGTAATAAATAGTGGAAATAAATATTCTCTGATAGCCCATAGACCCACCAGAGACAACTTAATCAAATTCCCAAGTTTGTTTCTATTCACCCCGCGATTTCTATTCACCCCATTTTACGGTATCTCTTTTCAATAAATTAAACAATGTATACTACTTATTCGTATTTTATTTTAATTAAATAAAATAACAAATTTAAAAACAGTTTTCTGGATTAAAAGTCGCTTATACATAAAGTCGCTTATAAATAAACAACTATAAATCTTTTGAACTTAACAATTATCATAAAATATAACACAGGTAATCGATTTGAGCCTTCATTATGGCTTTGTAGAATCAGTACCACTCCATAAAAATAATCAAAATTCTTTAAAAATTAAAACTAAATTCTAAATCTTCTGAACTTAACAATAATTATCATAACAAAGTTGTTACAGGTAGATAACTTCAGTCTACGTTAGCTCACTAAATGTAAAAAATAATATAAATTCTAAAAAAAACAATAAAATTCTAAATCGTTCCAACTTAACAATTTACAAAGTTTTCACAGGTCATCATCATCATCATCCTCTTCTAAAACTTTTAATATTTCGTCACTATCATTATAGTAATTGAGTCTACTAGAATCAAAAACCGCAATGTCCGTATCTATGTTTTTTTCACAATACCTCTATTTTGAATTATTGATCTTTAGTACATTCATGGTCTTCACCTAAGTCCTCGCCGGGAAGTCTGGCTAATATTTCAGTTGCATTTAAAGGGCTAATTCCTATTTTCTTAAATCCAGCAATGATATTCTTTGAAGCATTTATTTGCAGTTCATCTATTAATAATTTTAATAGTTTTGGAAAGCAACCTATTGGAATTGTGGGTAATTGTCGACCATCTGTCTTTTTCCATTTTAATAATAATTGCCTCCAGGCTCGCTTCATTGGACGGAAAAATGCCACGTCCAGAGGTTGCGTCAGGTGAGTTGAGTTGGCTGGTAAAAACACAAAATCGATGTTGTGCGCTTTACATGTTTGGATCAAGTCTGCTGATAAATGTGAAGACAAATTGTCTCCAATTAAGCACTTTCTACCTGGTAAATTCTTAAAATAAGGAACCACCATATTTTGCACCCTGTCCTCAAAAGTGGTTCCATCAAACCATCCAGATGTCGACCTATTATAGCGAGTACCCTCTGGGCCATGTTGGATCCAAGAATCATATAAATGAGTTGCCTTGTATACCACATATGGTGGTAACATTTTGCCATCTGCGGTACCAGCCATCATAATAGACACGGAAGCCTTGGTATGGTTCAGAACTCTTTCAGGGTACTTGCATCCCCGTTTGATTAGTATTTTTTTCCGCCCAGGGTCGTCCGTCAAATTTGTTTCGTCGTAATTTAAGATGTTAGAAGCAGGTACACCATTTAAAGACTTCTCAAGTTCTATGAAATATTCTTTAATCGTATCTGGAGATACCTTTTTTTTTTTTATTTTTTTTTTTAAGGGGGGAAAATCATCGAATGACTGCTCCCGCCTGGGTGAGGCGGAAGGGAGTGTCAGACTTACTGACTAAAAACCACCCGGTTCCTTCTCCTGCACGTCGAGCCGGAGCCCCGGTTACCCGCTAGGTTCTCCGCGACTCCGAATCGGCATCGGCCCTATTGGGCCCCATCTGTGGTGGTCTGATGGCTCTTTGAGGCGCGCGCAGAACGCGACGCGCCGTACGCTCGGGTCTGTTTCTGGTCGGACGGGGAGCCACCCATGCTCGCCGTCCGCAGGCCCGCGCTTACGGTGGCCGGAGATCGTCCCGCGATCCCCGACGCCCGGTGTGTCCTTCGTGATGGCTGGGTTGCGAGGAGGCAGCGCTTCGCTGCCTCACGCGTCCTGCCTCCTCCTTAGCTAGCATGACTGCTTCGCAAAAGGAGGAGACGGCATCCCAGTCCCCCTCGCTCCGCATCATGGCCTGCACTAGGCCCGGACGCGAGAGGTCGCCATCGCCGATCACTTCCCTGAGGGCACGGCGGTGCTCAGCCCACGCAGGGCATTCTCCCACTGTGTGTTCCACCGTGTCCTCAGGGCGGTCCTCGCAGTGATGACACCCGGGCGTTTCCTCCCGCCCCATCAGACACAGGTACCTCCCGAAACTTCCATGTCCGGTGAGGACCTGCGTCAGGCGGTAGGTGAGGACGCCGTAGCGTCTCTCAAGCCACTCCTCAAAGAGGGGACTTACCGCTGCAATGGCAGCGAGCCCAATCCGGAGATACCTTAGCTCTCACACGCTTGATATTTTCACAAACTCATTGAGAAATCTCATTTTTGTGTCTTAATAGGAAGCTCTGCACAAAATCTGGTCCTGGAATGCTCTTTTATGAATTATACTTATCTTATCAAGATACATTTTTACTATGTACCTGAGATCTAAAGTATCTAAGGGATAACCCCATTCTGCTTCATTTCAGTTTCATCGGATAAAGCTCTTTGGCCTTCATGTTGCTTCATATCCCGCGTACAATGACGATATAACACCGATTTGTGTATACCATATTTTTTTGCAACTTCTTCTAATTTAACATTTCGGGAAGATGCATACTCTTCCACAGCTTTTTTATGATCTCCATGTTATATTTTGTATACCTTTTTTTTGTAGGATTGGGTTTATATACACGCGGCATGTTGAATACGGTGGTATGTATCTGTAAATGAAAATAATCACGTTAAAAATATTATTTATTTATCAATTACTAAATCTACAGCTCCATACATTATTAGTAGTATTAAGTTCTATTAACAGTTTTTGACAACCCTATTTATTTAGCTCTATTGACCCCTCATTAGTTGCTATTCAAACATTAGTCGTTTCTATGAGTCCCTACTAGGTTTCCATTAAACCCATACTAGAGTTCTATTCACCCTTCAATAGATTCTATTGACCCCTTTTATACAATAAATTTACTTAAACTGTAATTTTAACAATTTTTTGAAGTTTAATAACGGATTCTCACTTACCTTCACTGTATTTTTATAATTTATCGTACACCTAATGAGATAAACACATTAAACAGCACAAATCACAACTTTTTCAGACCTAAAATCAAGAGTTTCGGCAGTTGAATAAAACACGTTCACAGATGGTCGAGTGGTCGACTTTGAATTTAATTTGAAGGATAAATGTCAATTTTGACAATTAAAAATTGTTGCCAACGTAAAGAAAAAATGTTGCTGTATTCAAATTTAAAATTCTACTAAAATTCTTCAACGAAAACTACTGAAATATTAACATTAAAAACTTTCCTGATTTTTTTTCTATTCGCCCCGCAATTTCTATACACCCCGTTTTACGGTAAATTATTAATCAAAACTGTCGGAAAAGTCATAGTTGAAATTCTATTTACATAAGTATCTCCCACAGTTCACCAGTTATGTTATTACCTGCTCTATGCGAATTTGTAAAAATCGAAAACCCACTAAGTACCTAGTAAAAATGCTAGGCAACATATTAATTCATGTGTGTGTTAGGGCGTTTTTCAAAAAAGAGGTTTGTACACGTGACTAACCGGAACAACTTTTAATGCTATTTAAATTTTACTGTAAATTATTATCTCATTTGATTAAATCGACCTATCCCGAGAACAACGGTCGATTTGCAAAATTGCTACTTTCCAGGAGAGGCGAAAGAAGTTTGCAAGTAGTATAACTCTTAAACGGTGACACTTGAGATTGTGATTTTTTGGTATGTTATTACTACATCTCAACCTAGTATAATGCTATATGATGTATATTTATTATGATTTTATTTCACGAGTTAGCGAGTTCCATGTCAACAAACTAGAGGAACATTTTATGGCGGAAGATCGATAGTTCATAGTGAACATAATGCTTTGTTTTACGGAATCTATATAATTATGTGACGTTCTATATGATCATAGGTAATTATTTGTTGGAGTGACCCGTCCCAAAAGAGTCCTATGTGAATGAAAACCCTAAATATTTTATGCCTAATGTTAGATAAATTATTTGTACTCTGCATACAATTAAATAAAAAGCTTAATTATGTTTGAAAAGTGTTTATTAAATTGAAAAAAAGTATAAAAATGCTTACAAAACCATTTTTAATGGGATATCTTAGAACGACAATCGTATTAATACTTAAACATAGTTTTATTTCAAAATCACAGCATACCAATTATTAAGCTAATCAAGTAACATTAATAATTACAGCAAGAACTTAAACACATGTTAATAATTATATTAAAGAAAGACACGTATAGAAAGATACTTAAACTTAGGACAATGTACTTATTCAAAATAAATCACAATTATTGCAATCAGTCTTCATAATTATTTTCAATCAGTCTTAATTTGACCAACATGGGTAACAATTAATAATCACATTAAATATTTAGAATATAACAAAAAAAAAAACAGAAATTCTAAAAATGACAAAAAGCACATAAAGAAGAATATTTTTAAGTTGATAGGATATCATTCTGAGTCTTCTGAAACATCAACAGTAATGTGATGTGGCAAAGAGTTAAAGTATGCATGATACTCTAAGGGAATTACTTCTGACTGACACATATCCATCAGGTCTTTATATTTAGACGCTGGCACCATAATTGGTTTAGAATAAGCAGGCTTTAATTCAGTTGGTATGGAGTTCCTTGTGTTGCCGCGAATAATTAAAGTATTATATTCAGGTTGATTGAGATCATATTTAAAAAACAGTTTGTTAGGGTCGACACCATTTGCATAAACTTCACGAATATTATTCCAGCAGATTTTTTTGCCTTGAATGTCTTTTATCCAGACCTTATCATTGACAAGACATTTAAAATCAAACACATCATTCTGGGTTACATTGTAGACAACATAAGGTTCTCCTTCATTTTTAGCCCATTTAACTAATAAGCGCCATTCTTGAGGAATGAAGATTGTTTTTGTTTGAGAAGCTCTCTCAATGACAGAGTGGACACTGTCCCCCTCATTTTGAGTGTGTCCCTTTTGTAAAAATCGGTGTGTTATACGTATTCCAAACTTTATTGCGGCATATACATACATTGAATATACGTAGCGGTTACGATTTTGACCAGGACAATTGTCTGACCAAAAACGAAACTCCGTGGCCCCTCGGTCAATATTGGTTTTGATGAAATTGTATAAGCAACTGCTTACTTCATTGGCACCACGTTTTGCCACAGATTCGTCCCACATGTAGCATACGGCCTTCCTTTTAGCCATGTCGTAAACAGTGAAGTTATAAGAAGATAACTTTCTTTTATAGTAAAATATATTTATATTGCCATGAGGACATTGCAATACTTTTTCAAAATCAAACACAGCGGTAACCATGTTTCCATTTGACTCCTCAGCTTCTCTTTTATTTGGCTTTTAAAATCTCTCGCGATCTCTTATTATTCTGGTGATGTTGAAAGGCTTCTTTTTCTTGGTCCGTTGGATTGTGCTTTAATCGAAAAATGTGGCATTCGTCGCACTGATCCTTTTTAGGTATGTGAAAAGCCAGATTAAAGTTTGAATTTACAATATCACGATATTGGCGTAGTTTTGTAGCCTTAGAAGTGTACTTCTCGGGGTTGAACCATTCAAGATATAGTTTGAACATTTTGGCGATACTCAAATCTCCTTGTAAGTAGAGCTTTTGACTGTTTTTTCGAATGTAATGCGATTCGAAAGGGAAAATGCCCGAACGTGGTCACAAACACTTTGTTTCATAGCATCATCTATAACAATTTTATGATTGTTGTGACGTCCCCGTTTGTCTCCCTCTAAAATAGCACTTCCATTATATTTCCCCCATGCAGTCTTTATTATACGAGATGAAAATCAGGTATGTATAATCAATTATTTCTGAACTACCTACTACTACCAGGCCTCCTTCACTCGGCCGTACTTGCAGCGGTAAATACCTATTACCTAGACTTTCGCGTGGTGCCGTCGTAATAAATTAAGATTATATTAAGATTAAGATTCAGAATAATTAAGATTCTTAATTCTTTTTATTCCTGTGAACCCTTGCATAAAAATAAATATTGCCACGTTTTACATACATAATACTAATGTATTTTTTTTAATTGTAACTTTTTAAGGGTATATTTCGACGCATCCTGAGAATAACGGTCGATGTGACCCTGTAGCAAAAGTGCTTTTATTAGCTTAAAGAGATAAGGAACCCGAGCTCTAGAAACGTGTGTTTTTAGAATTGTCATATCTTGTCTAGTTTTGGAGATATAGAATCGAACATCGTCCTACTTGATATTAACTCCCTATAGCAACGTTCGATGTGTCCGTGCGTCGGCGCGCGGGGAACGGGGGAGGTGCGGGCGCGCCGGCCGTTTGTTAATTCGCCCGCTGTTCGTTGGATCCGAGGTCGTGTTGACGCCGTGCGCCTGGCTTTCTTTTGCTTTGATTTAAAGTACATTTTTTTAAGTGTTTTGCATGGAAAATCATATTTTTAGATATGTCACGATCCCGAAAAATGTTAGAAATGCTTCAAGTAAATACTAGTTGTACGGAAACAAATTTCGATAAAGGTAAGTTTTCGATTTTACTAGTATTATTTAGAAAATACACACATTGTGTTCGTAAATTAATAACAACATGGTCTATCTATACATACATGTTGTACCTACAATTAGGTATGTAGGGTAGACCGGGGACAATAGTACCATTTTCGGAATATGGTTTGATTACACAAACTTGACTGTTGCTTTTTGTTTTAGATATTATTATTTTACAGCCTTGGTTTATTATCTATAATTAAAAGAAAAAGAAAATATCTGAAATTGGCCTAGATTGAACCAAATTTGGTCAAAATTGACTTTAACGAAATGATAGCTAGTGCTACAAATGACCCCCTTTGAGGGTTAATTGTACCAAAATTACATTGGGTAATAAAACGCAAATAAAGGTTTTAATCACATTTTCTCAGTCATTTATTTGAAGTCTTATAGGTTTATAATCATACATAAAAAATAGGAACAAAAAAATCGTGAGATCGGTATTTGAAATAAAAACAAATGTAAAGTTATAACATAACATATCAATTCTTCGTCTATAACAAAAATAAAATAAGTTTTTAAAAACATATAATCAACTTTGGTTCACCAGATGCACATTTGCTATTATCTAGCTTAATAACAATATTAAAATAGAAATAATCAACAAAATTATTTTACTATGGAGGTACAATTGACCCCTGGTACTATTGACCCCCATAGAATATTAGATATTAAAAAAATTAAAAAAGTATGTTAATCAGATTCGCAATTATGACATATATAAATCGACTCCTGAGGTGTGCATTCTTCGTGTGCCCATAATCGGCATTGAGTGCATTGAACCAGTGCCGGATTTATGTTTTTATGAGTGTAGGCTACTTTATTTCCGCCGCCCCAAGTACAAACTTACATACCTACCTTTCTAAAATAATAATTTTCCATTTTTAGTAAAGAACGCTTTACAGTTAAATAAAATTATACCTAGTCATTAAGAAGGAGCGTAATGAAATAAAATCAAGATATACATTTTTTACGGGCCTTTTTAATAGCAAAATCATTAATAATATCATCATAGTTTATGGTGTTCATTATCTCGGCTTCTATGTAGAGAAGAGCTAGAGAATTCATTTTTTCTTGAGACAATGAAGACCTTTGATAATTTTTTACGCGTTTTAAACAGGAAAAACTCCTTTCCCCAGAACAATTTGTAGCAGGCGTGGAAAGTGCAATGCGGAGAGCTATATCCAAGTTAGGGTATACATTAGACAGACTTTGATTCCTCAAAAAAGTTGAGAGACTGAGGAGTGAGTTTGATTCAGGCTTCAATGCACACTCTGCAGTTTTATAAGAGGAAATGTGACTTTGAAAATGCACACATTCTTGAATCAAATCATCCTCTAAATCATTGGTATAATATTTTACGAGAGACTGAGCTTTTTCTGTAACTGTTTCCGTTGAAAGTTCAGTCATTTTTGTTAAAAATGAAAATTTGTCCTTAAAGTTTAAGTAAGCATTATGCCTTTTCTGTATTTCAGCTCTCAGACTATCAAGGATGACCAAAAAAGTATTCACTCTGAAATAATCTCTAGAGTTGGTGGGTATTTCAGGTTCTTCATTCGTTGTTTCATCCGCCATCTTTTTTCTTTTAGGTTGTCTTTTTATTTTATCTTGATATTCCTTAAGTGTGCTCATCTCCATTGCTTTTTCTTCGAAATAGTCAAAGTTTTCTCGTTCTGCTATTATAAACTCTACTAGAGATCCATAGAGATCAGATACCGTCAATACATCTACAGATGAGCTCTGAATCTGAATGCTTACTTTATTTAATCTTTCCAAAATAACATTCCAAAATATGACCATGAACGCAGTTTCAAGTTTTTCTAATTTGATGCGGATTCCCTTTGCCTCATTTCGCGGGACCGGTTTTTCTGTACTGTCATTTTCAATCATTTTTAAAACTGTAATTACTTCATTCCAGGAATGTTTTAGACTTTTACAGGCATCTGCTGTAGCCGACCAATGAGTGAGGTTCACTCTCTTGAGTGTTTTTCCTCTTCCTATCTCATTCGTTAATTTTTTTCCAACGTTCAGTTGACTTCACGAAGAAAGTATATACCTCCTCTAGCAACATAAAGAAGTTGCAGGCCTCTGTACAAGACTCAGCGGCCGAGGTTCCTACCAAATTCAATGAATGAGCTGCACAAGGAACAAACATAGGGAATTGTGCTTGTTCTTGAATTTTGGCTTGTAAACCATTGTAAATTCCTGACATATTAGAGGCATTATCATAAGACTGACCGCGGCAATCATCGAGGTTAATGTTTAACTTTTCTAGCTCTATAGTAATGGCATTAAACATATCTTGAGCCTTTTGTCCTACAGAAGGCAAGAATTTAATGAATCTCTCACATGGTTCTCCATTATCTAAAACATATCGAATCACAAGTGTTAGCTGATCTAAATGTGCTACATCTGGTGTAGAATCCACGATCAAAGAAAAATACTTGCTTTTTTTATCTCATCACTGATGTAAATTAGTACTTTTTCAGCCATTAAATAAATGAATTCGTCGCAAACAGTTTTCGAAAGGTAGCTAGTTGTTCCAGATCCCTGATTTGCATATCTTTCAATGTGTTTGGTTAGTAATGGGTCAAACTCTGCTATTAATTCTAGAAGCATAATATAATTTCCACTGCGCTGGTCACCAAATTTTTCATTACTTCCTCTAAAAGCGACACCTCTAGAAGCTAATCCTTTTATTACAGCAACAACCCTCTTTAAAATGTTCCTCCAGTAAGAAATTTCTTCGTTAAGTTGGGTAGTTAAGAAAGATTGGATATTGCCGTGAATCATAGCCCTAGATCTTAAAGCGAGAATGCAGGATTTATGATTTTGAGAGTTTTCATGATGAGCTACTCGAACTTCTGCATTCTTCCAATCATTGAACCCTTCCGCGTCAAACTGTGTTCTGTTCTCAATAGATCCAAAGGCCAAACAGGGTCCACAGAATAGGGAGCCTTTGCTTTCCGAATAGACGAGCCAATTCCTTTTTTTAATTTCGTTATTCTTCATTTTTCTGTAAAATATATTTTTTGGTAAATAACGGCGATGATCGGAATACATTCTTCCACTTTTTGTGAAGTCACAGGTTTTATTTTGTTCGAAACCATTTCTTGCAATAATATCCCTTGTTAAATCGTTTACCCCCAAAAGGCTGGATCTTTGTTTAGTTTTGTGGTTGATTCAATTTCAATAAACGCCGCAACTGTAGCCATTTCTTCGCCGTCTGATGTTAGAATCAGGAGGATGAGCAGGTTTTACTGAATGCAACTGATCTGCCTGATTGCGACGGTCGCTCTTCGCCTCAATCGGAATAGAACCTTGTTTATATTTATTTTCTATATTACTACTAGTCTCCGAGTTCTCTTGTGCAATACGCAAATCCTCGCTGCTGTTTTCACTTTTAAAAAATGTTTCTATTTTTCTGGTCTTCTGAAGCGCATGTTCTTGTTCATTTTTTTTTATTTTTGCCTTTTTCCTGTATTCAGCGCCTCTAAGTCTCTTCCTTCCATCACTCATTGTGTCAGTTTGAGAACACTGTATTAATTATCAATCAATCTGTAAAAGAATACAATAGTCTATATAAATGTCATCATCATCGTCTCAGCGGTGTACTTAGTCGTGCGTGAAAGTTTAAAAACATGCAAACAAATTCAGAATTACATTTATACTAAGTTGGTTAAGGTTCAATATTAATAGCAATATGTGAAAAGTCTCTATCATAATTATAATGTCATTAATAATTATGTGAGACCTCTAATATAATTTAAAAATCAAAGTTTGACACTTCATTTTGTGCTGATAGAGAATGGTCATAATATCTATATTGAGTCACATTTGGATTCGACATTATTTGATTCGTATTTAAGTTAGAGTATAATGTAATCTTCTCTAAATCACGCGATGTTTGGTTAGGGATAATATTAACCGGTACATTTTCTTTTTCTACTGTCCTAGTGTGTGTATATGGACTTTGATTTGGTTTTACAATAAATGGCTTATTAGAATTGTGAATTATATTATCACTAGTAATATTTATCGGAGTGTTCAGAATTCTTTCACGGTTATTTAGCATTTTCATTTCCGAATCATGTATTAGCTTATGTAATTGAAATTTTATTTCAGCTTGGTCTGTTTTAGGTAACTTCTTCAATTGTTTACTCATTGATAAAAAAAAATAGTCATTTCCATCCATGTCTGGTACTCCTCTTTTCTGTCTCATATCCGTTTTCATTACATCAACCATTTCTCGTAAAATTTGAGTATCACTATCATTTTTGTTTGTGCGTCTCGGGGTAAAATTTAGAGTAGTACAAGCTCTTGCAGCAGATGCCCTGGAAGAAGAGGACCCTGGAGTAGGTGAACGAATTATAGGAGGAGGTGAAAGTGCAGATTCTTCAGAAAATTGCAATTCAGAGTGTTGTGTTGAATCTTCATCATTTATATCAGCTAAGTTTGTAACAGTCTGTCTTCCTTCTAAAGGTGGTAACAGAAATTCCATCTGCTTCTCAAATTTCCAAGGTACTAAATTAGTTGCTGCTTGACCACTCTTCTTGCGGCGTCTTTTCAATGCATTTGTGAAGCAGTTTCTTAATTTTGCCCATTTATTTTTTACATCTTCAACTGAAAAAAAAGAAAAATAATGAAATTTTTTTGTTATAGGTTTTTAGCCACGGGCAATTCATTTAGATCGATGGGATTCAACTAACGAATGGGATTCAGTACCGTACGAAACATTGTGCAAGACGTTTGCAATGCAATTTGGAAGAAAATGGGTCCTATTTATATGCCCAAACCTACAAGTGCAATTTGGCAAGAATTAGAAAATGGTTTTAGAAATTACTGGAATTTCCCAAATTGCTGTGGAGCAATAGATGGAAAACATGTGAATATTATTTGTCCTATAAATGGTGGTTCAAATTACTGGAATTATAAGGGAACTAATTCAATCGTGTTACTAGCTGTAGTAGATCCAAAGTATAGATTTTTAGTTGTGGACGTCGGATCCTATGATAAAAATAGCGATGGTGGAGAATTAATAGAAAAAGGAAAATTAGAATTGCCAGCCGCTAACCCTTTAACTCCAAATTCAGAAACATTGCCACATGTGATTGTGGCAGATGAAGCTTTTCCCTTAAAACTATGTTTGATGCGACCCTACAGTAAGAATGACGTTCGTAGCAATGAACCCAATAAAATATTCAATTACAGACTCAGTCGTGCTCGACGAATAGTCGAGAATGCTTTTGTCATCTTAAGATCAAGATGGCGTGTATTTGCAGGTCCTATGTCAGTACAACCTGACATGGTCGACAAAATAATTTTAGCAACATGTTGCTTACACAATTATTTGGGCACGGATAATTTACCCTCGAACTGTGATCATCCAGAGACAAATGTGACAGAATCTACCGCCTTTGACAATTTAAATCCAATTCGTAGAAATTCCACACAATATGCTTTTACAGTAAGAAACAAATTCAAAGAATATTTTAACAGTGAAGGCGCCGTTCCGTGGCAGCTTGATATTGTGAGGAGAGGTAGACAACATTAATAACGTGGCTACTCTTCAAAAAAATCACAAAACTAAGTTCATACGAGATATATGTATATTTAGTTAACATATTCAAGTAAAAAATAAGTATATTCTATTTTGTAATAAATAATATTCGTAATAAAACTTACCTGGTGTATCCATTTCCCCTGCAATTTCTTCCCAAGCATTATTTCGTACAGTATGGTCCCTGTACTGAGCTAAATTAGTATTATATAGAATAGGATATCGTTTCACGAATTCTATTAATTGTTCGTCCCTCATTTCCAAAAGATGCAAATAAAATCCGCGCGCAAAATCAAAGAAAGTTCTCGAACAAATGACGCGTGGCGTCGGGTCTGTCTGTACTAGAAACACACTGCGAGCGGTGCGTCGGGTGGCGTGTTTACCTCCACCACCGGCGACACGTTGATCTGGCAGTCAGGGATCGGGTGGCGTGTGCCCGCATGTTGGTGCGTCGGGTGTTTATAATGTGATTCTAGGCATAGAAAATAGTACGAATTGATTCCACTCAACACGCATCACGTTTTGTCGGGTGGCGTGGCGTTTCAATAATGTGTTTCTACCTTAAGTCGGATAATATTTCCTCGTCATTTCTGTAATAATTTCGATGTTTTCGTTGTTTTCTTTTCATTTTATCATCATATAATATTTTTGCTAATTGTTTAGAATCTGTAACTGAAATATCAGATAAAATTTCAATTTTGTTATTGCTTTTTATTTCATTACTTGAAATCATAGTATTAGAATTGACATTTAAATTGTCAATTGTTTCAAAATGATCAATAACAACATCATCACCAAAAATAATTGGTACCTTTTCTATATCTAAGGCTGGTTTTAGTGTCACGCGGACTAGACTATAACTATATTAGAGTTCGCGACGGATACAGTATTGATGATACACTAACAATTGAGGGTATGGCAGATATGTCAAATAATTTACCTACAACCAGGTCTGGAAACGCTTTGCGTCACTATTTTGTGGAGTACTTTTTAAGCCCAGCAGGCAGGGTACCTTGGCAAGACTCGCGTATATTTTAATTGCTTTATTCAAACAAATTTAGTAAAGTACATTTTCCTTATTTATTTATTTGTATATTATATAATACACTTTTGTTGTAGCGTAATATAACATACATTAAATGTTTATGTAACTATAGTCAAAAATACAATAAAACACAGTACTTACCATTTTGTTTTTCGTTTTCTTCCATTGTATTTTCGAAGAGTACATTAGCAACATCCACCCAAGCTTTATTTCTAGCGTCTTGGTTTTTATATAGCGGATCAGAAGCATCCCACAAACATCTTCTCAACCGAACTTCGTGTCACT